AGTGGAATTGTATTCACAATTAGCACGCTGGCACACATTGTGCAGAGCAGCACAAACTAAGCTTACGTCCTTCATGAAGCCAGGGTCTCTGATATAGTTGTCGGTGAGAATGTGCCACCTGCCTTTCAGGAATCCGAATGCATTCTCGATCTTCTGACGCGTAGATGTCAGTGCACGGTTGAATCGTATGTGATGCGGCACTGTTGGCCGATCATAGCACTTGAGAAGCTGCTGTTCTAGGGGGAAAGCACTGTCGCCGATCAGGTACGGCTTGACCGTCACACCATCGAGGTCTTCCGCGTACTCGCTGAGCCACTCTCCTGAAGTAATCAGCCGGCGAAGTGAGCTTTCGCGGTACGTGAACGCGTCGCCAACACATCCAGCTCTGCCAACATCCACAAACGTAAACTGGCAACGGTGGTCACAAACGGCGAGCATAATAATTGCTATAAAGTTCTTATAGCACCAGTAGGTATCACCCCACAGGGCTGGCTTTTTGATGTGGACGAATGTGCCATCAATAGCTCCAGCGCACAGACGCAAGTTTGCCAGGTCTTCAAAGCCAGTCATGACTGTTTGCAGCTCGTTCCCAGAAGGGAACTTGATACATTTCGAGACCAGGGTGGTCTTCACCACTGCGATAGTGTCGTGAACGATTTGGTGGGCAGTAGATGCTCCTATGCAGTACACCTGTGCAAGCTGGTCAAATGTGAGGGCATGGGCCAGCCAATGCAATGTGATGGCAAACCTCTTCTCTGGTGCTACAGGTGAACGCAAATGGGTGACCTGGCATCGAAGGTGTTCTTGGACTTGTCCTAGCACGTACTGAAATGTGCGACAGTCAAACCGGTACGTTCTCAGGTATCTCTCATCCAGATAGTCGTCTGCCTCACCTGGAATGCGATAATTATCTGCCACTCTGTGCCACAGTTGCACTTTCTCCTCCCAAAATCCAGGACGACCTCGATGGATGGACCACCACCGCCTCTCTCTCCTACAAGCTGCCACCTCTTCTGCGGCAAGCAGTGGCAAAAGGACAGATTGCCTCCTCCAACGAGAGCAGCTGCCAGGCATAGGTGGCTGGATGTCACGAGGTAAACATCGCCTCCTTGTGTGCTGGGTTCCACCTGAAGACAATCTACACGACGCTGTTGTCGTTCTAGATCGCAGGCCGACAGGAGTATCTACATGATCACCTCGCCCTTGCAAGACCACCCAAGCACCAAACACTCCGGACATCGTATTCTTTCCGTCGACAAGCACAAGGAAAAGCACAATGATCCAGTATCTCAACAGACTGAATTAGTTTATTTTGATGTCCAACTCAACTTGAACTGTGAGTCAAAATCACATTTTTCCAATGTCGATTGATTATGTAAAAAAGCTTGTCAAAGTCTGTAAAAGTATGACATGTACTCGCCATTCCAGCGGGATACACGTGCAGTGTGACTGTGATTCCCGGGATTACGCTGCAGCATTCCGGCGGCTGTTCACGGTAGTCTGAACGCGCCCTAAGGCTGGAACTGTTGCAAAAACCTTGGTCACAATGATCAGACTTAAACGGCTTCTTCCCGGTATGGATGCGTTCATGAACAGTACAGCTTGATTTCTCACTGAATGATTTAGCACAGTACTTACACGAAAAGGGTTTTTCTCCTTAGTGAACTCGTCCATGACGAACCAGATGAGATCGCGTACTGAAGGTTTTATCACACACTTTACATTTGAAAGTTTCCTTTTCTGGCTGTACACATTCATGAGATGTTAGACGGGATTGAGTAGAAAATAATTTTTTACAATATTTACATTTATGCGGCTGTTCTCCAATTTGTGAATGTACGCAATCACCCATATCATGCTGGCGATCAAGTGACAACCCGGTTTACTGGCTGAGGGACGTATGATCTTGAGGAAAGTCAGCTAGAAATTGAGTGTCTTCAGCGGAATACATCGCCGATTTATGCTGTTTTTTTAGCTTTTGATGATCAGGATGTTTGCCATCCTCAGATACGCTACGCGGTCGGTGAGATATCGGAATATTTTGAAGGTCTACTTCGGAAGACGTAGTTGAGTAGTAAGTGTCTTCTTCCGAGTCATACTCTACGTGCCCGTGTCCTGTGTAGTGATCTAAAACTGAGATTGGATAGTTCACAGTTTGGTTACCCCTGTCTCGAGATCTTTGTTCAAGTCCCATTGCCGAAGTCATGTGAATCGTACGTGGATTATCGACAGCTGTTTCTGAAAGCTCCGTAGGGTTTGTTTCTTCCTTCCTTAGGCACTCTGGTCGAAGGTCCCTGTTAGGTCCGGCGGTGGAAGATCTAGCGGTAAATTGGTGGTAAATGATGGTATGTTCCAAGGACTGAATGAGTTATGCTGACTTGCATAATAGGCAAAGGAGGTTTCTGAGGTCGGTATTTCATTCCCACCAACGGGGTATACGTGGTGATGAGCTGTATAAGCGGTACCAGAAGTTGGTGTGTTCGGCGGTTGAGGACACGCAGTTGACCTTCTGCTGGTCCGTATCACTAAGGGTGGAAGGGGTAATAGTGCATCAGATTCGACAGCACCCTCCGAAATCCAGGCAAGATCATCCATGATTCACTTACTTCAAAAATCCTTCCAAGCGCAATTCTAATGCCATGTAGGTCAAAGTATCCTACTTCAATACCAATAATCCAAAGAGCAGGGACAGCTGGTCCTAGGAGGTAAGTATTATGATCAGTAACAACTGTGTTTCCCTAATATGTACATGAACAATCTGCTAATTTGTCACGTCTTTAAGTTGATATCTATTTCTTAGCCCTTACATTTAGCTTACACATTATGGTCTTTTCACATCATGAGCGCACGCGCCGAACCACACGCATACACACTCACACACACACCCATCCACACACCCAGACACCCACACAAACACACACTGAGATACACGGACAATCGCACACACACACAAACACGCTGTGACTGAAATGATCGAATTTCAGGACTGCAGAGGAGATTCTCTTTTAACTTTCTTCGATGTTAATTGCAGGGAAGTTCCTTAGCGTCAGCACAGACACAGCATTGCGACTCCAAGTATAGTCATCAACCGTATTTGTTCAGGGAATGAGATAAGCATAATCATACGGAATGGATGATCAGCTCCCCATGGAAATGTATCGTGTCATGTTCTGTCTTGCTTGTGACTTAAGAGTTCTAATTAACTGAGGAAAGAGCAATGGAACAAGTCTTGTTTCTTGGCACATGGTAGTTATAATGCACATTTAAGACTACCTTATGATTTCACAATATTGCTTAAGAAATTCATGCAAGATAAAGAAACCCAGATTTTCGACGATCAGGGTTTGTCCCGATATTGCAGGCATAAAAATATGAATGTATTGTTTTTACGTGTATTTACCATACTCCATCTGCGTAGCATATTCAGCTCGCAGGCAGTGCTTCCTGCTGTGACTCTAGTAGAAAGCTTCTCTACCCCGCATCGGTCTCATTCAGTAGAGAAAAATATGCTTTACATACCGAAATATCAAGTAGAGCATCGCCGGCCATAAGGGTCCTCGTGATGACAGTCGACATTTTTTTTAAACCCTTCCCCGTTAACATCTTTTCCTCGAATATATAAATTCTGTGTGTGTTGTGTCTCCCCGCGTACTACATAGTGCTAAAGACTAGCGTGTGTGGTTTACAGGGGTACTGCGTATCGCAAGCCTGTGTGAAATCACAGAAAGTGAGTGTTTCGAAGTCAAAAGAAAATGTTCTTCGGAAGCTGCTTTGATGATCACTATGTCATAGGTTAGTAGTAGAGCATTGTTTGACACAAGTGGCTCTTTTTTACATTTATTACTGGCTCAGTATCCGAGTAAAAATAAACGAAATCACCTTATCACAATCACATGACCTTGACCTTTCCAAGCTGGAAGGCTATTCGTTTGCGCAATGGAGGTGTGTGAGAGCTAGGTTTAAGGTCGTTGAATGTCTCAGTAAAGTAATTTTTTGCAGTGTCATCGCATTTTGTGACCGTTTATTATCATGTTACAGTCGTGTATGGTTGCTTCATAACTCGTTTCCGTGTGACATGAAATTTTAAGAAAAGAAATTAACAGTGAGATGTTACAACTTAAAAGATTTGACGAGTTTTGACAAAAACTTTACTACACCATAATTATTAAACAGAGGTCCAGGGTACATCTAGAAATACCATTTAAAGTTCGGGGGCGAACTTGAAAACAAAACAGCTTAGCGCCTATTAGAACGAAGGGATTCATACCCGGCATGCGTGCTCCCCTTCAGTAGGGCATCCGACATAAAAAAGGACCGATTTATCAAACATAAACCCTACAGGAACGTTCAGCGCAGTTGAGTTATGGTAAATATGGAAACATGTTCCAGCTGTGTAGGAACTGAAATGGATAACAGGGAATGTAAAAGTGAATATCAACTGGAATACAATGACAATGATAATGCTTTGGATGTTAATAGGTTGAAGTTAGCATGTAAGCATGGATTTTTGCATGGATATGAGATTTAGCTGTAATCGGCATTGAAACTAATTGCTAATCACAGCGGACCTGTAATTATAGCATTTTCCATAATCATGAAAACAAGCCGTTTCTTTATTTACTGTCTTGGTATTCGTATGGTCTTCTACATGGCTTTTTAGCGTTGCAAAACGCGTAGCAGGTATTTCATCAATTTTTCTTTCAAGGTTGGATTCTTTCATGACGTTTTAGACTGGATATCGTAGTGAAAGGCTTTCCACACTCCCTACACGAAAATGGTCTCTCTCTAGTATTGATGCGCTGATGATATGTGAGATTCGACATTCGCGGGAATGCCTTGCCACATTCTTTACACTTGTAAGGTCTATCTCCAGTATGAATGCGTTGATGATAGTTTGTGAGATGTGGGGTTTGGCTGAATGACTTGTCACATAGTTTACATTTGAATGGCTTCTCTCCAGTATGCGAACGTAAAGGAACTCTAAGGTTGGAACCGTCGTGAAAACCTTGGTCACAATGATCACACTTAAACGGCTTTTCCCCGGAATGCCTTCGCTCATGAACAGTAAGATTGGATTTCCAACTGAATGAGCACGGTCAGGGTTATTTTCCTGAGTGAACTATTTGCGAATCAAAGCGGACCTGTAATGATAGCATTTTCCATTATCATGAAAACAAGTCTTTTACTGCGCTGGTATTCGTATGGACTTCCAAGTGGTTTTTCGCAATGAAAGATTCTTCGCAGGTACTTGATCAGTTTCTATCAGGGATGGATTCGTTCATGACGTGTTAGGCTGGATTTCGTGGTGAAATACTTTCCACATTTCCTACACGAAAATGGTTTCGCTCCAGTATGGATGCGTTGATGATGTGTGAGATTCGATATTCGCGAGAATGCCTTGCCACATTCTGTACACTTGTAAGGTCTCTCTCCAGTGTGCATGCGTTGGTGATTTTTGAGATGCGCTAATTGTCTGTATGACTTGTCACATAAGTTACACTTGAATGGCTTCTCTCCAGTATGCGTACGTTTATGAACTCTAAGGTTGGACGTGTCGGAAAAGCCTTGGTCACAATGATCACACTTAAACGGCTTCTGCTCGTTATGGATACGTTCATGAACAGTGAGGTGGTATTTCACTCTGAATGATTTAGAGCAGTACTTGCACGTAAAGGGTTTCTCTCCTGAGTGAATTCTTCGATGAGAGACGAGGAGATATCGGCTATTGAAAGTTTTATCGCACACTTCACACTTAAACGGTTTCTCTTCTGGGTGTGGTCGTCCATGAGCTGTTACACCGGATGGAGGAGAAAATGACTTATCGCCACACTTACATTTATGCAGCTCTTCTCCAGAATGTGATTGTGGACGATCACGATAGTAATGCTGGCGATCAAGTGACATCCGGGTTTCCTTGCTGAGTGATGTGTGGTCTTGAGGAAAGTCAGCTCGAAGTCGACCATTCTCCACAGAACACGACTCCGACGTATACTGTTTGTTGAGAATTTGACGATCATGATGTTTGGCATCCTCAGAAGTGCTAACCGCTAGAGGAGATACTGCAACAGGTCTGATATTGTGAAGGTCCACTTCGGAGTGATTACTTGCATAATTGCCATCTTCCGAGTCATAATCCACATACCCGTGGCCCATGTAGTGGCCTGAAAACGGAACGGGATAGTTAACAATTTGGTCACTATTGCCTTGCGATGTTGGGCCAATGTCCATTGCTGATGTCATGGGAATAGAGCATGGGTTATCGACAGCTGCTTTTGAAGCATTATTAGCGCGCGTATCTTTGTTCCTTTCGAACTCTGGTCGAGGGTGCCTGAAGTTTTCTCCAGCAGATTCCACCCAAGGATAATCTTGAAGCACATTGGAGGTAGATGTTTGTGTATTCCAAGGGCTGAGTGAGGTATGCTGAAGTGTACCATATGCAAAGGAGGCTTCTGAGGTCAATACGTGATTAGCACTATCGGGATATGCGTGCGGAAGAGCAGGATGCGTCGTACCATGATATGATAAATTGGGCGGTGGAAGACACGCAGTTGACCTTCTGCTGGTCCATATAACTAAGGGTGGAAGTGGTGAGAGTGCATCAGAGTCGACACTGCCCTCCGAGGTCCAGTCACGATTATCCATATTTCACTTACTTCAACAATCCTTCCAATCGCAATTCTACTGCCATGCACGGTAAAGTATCCGACTTCAATACTAATAATCCAAAGAGCATAAACAACTCGTCCTAGGAGATAAGTATTGTAATCAGTAATAGCTATGTTTCCCGAATATGTACCTGAACACTGTACTTACTTGTCACGTCTTTAAGTTGATATCTACTTCTAGGCCCGTCATTAAGTGCCACCTTTTAAAAGATCTTTTCACGTCATAAGCCCCCCACGCGGAAAAAAACACACATACAAACGCCACACACACACTATGTCTTTTCCCAAGCCGAGACAAGCCATTCTTGCTGACTCTCCAACACCTTATAAGAGGTGAATCTACAACAAAATGTCTGCTATGAATAAATGCATGGCTTACAAAAGTACACACTTCAGGCTCTTTACGAACATCTTGAAAGTTTTTGAATTCACAAGTACATGTATACTTTCAAGGCTTCTCATCAGGTGAAATACAGGTAAGGGAAAAGGAACAGGTACAGTAAGGAGTTCTGACAAATATGAGCCGTCCATTGCTAGTTATTTGTTTGAGCATCCTGATTGTCGTACTCTGTATTCACATGATCGGTTTTCGATTGTGTCACGTGTACGCAGTGCTAGAATGCTGAATGTTGTGGAAGCCGTATACTTCCACACAAAGAAACCCAAACTTTGCAGGCAGAAGCAAATTAAATTCACACGTAGGCTGTTAGGCAGGTCGTCAAAATCTCATTAGTTATGTCCAGTGGTTGTCTCTTGTTGTCGAACTACATATCACGCTTATTGTGTTTTCTCGCACTTGCACCTTTGTGTCATTATTTCTATGTGTATAGTTCACGCATTTTTGCTATTTACTTTAGCTCTCCTCTTCTTTGCGCTGTTTTACCACCTCCTTACTGTACTTAATCCACTGTTCCTGTTCTTTTCCCTTGCCTGCATTTCTCCTGAAATACAGTCAATGAGAAGGCTTGAAAGCATACTTGTGAAACCAAAAACTTTCAAGATGTTCGGAAACAGCCTGAAGTGTGTCCTTTTTATCAGTATTATCGCATTTTTGTGTCAGAGAAAACTATTTAATTATAAAGGTGTATTGTGATATAGGTAGTGCCGGGAATATGTTATCTAATTCCACGTGCCACACTATGAATGCTTCCGTCGAGACCGACCTGTTTTAGAAAATAGACAGAACCGTGACCCACACGGAGGAGTTCTCATCTTATTTCGTGAAGGTCTCTGTACTTCCATTGATCAGCTACCGGATTTTCAGCAACCGAGCTTACCGAGCTTGGAAGCGCTAGCACTTCGGCTTACACTCGCTGAACATAAGCTTGTCTCACCTTCTGACCTGCCAACAACCCACCTAACATGAGCCTGTATCTACCGTACTCCTTCCCCGTCGACGGATGTATTTGTATTTGTATTTATATCATTATCTCATGGCACATCATGATGACGGCCAATAAAACTGAGACAAGGGTGAAAGCCAACCACAGCAGTAAAACAGATAAAAGAATACAAATAAGAGGCAAAGAAGGCAAAGGAGGAGACAAACCAGCAGGATATACATGAAACCTATAATTGAGCAGAGATTTTAGCAACAAAATTATCCATCGACGTGCTGGTCTTGGCCTGCGTTGGTAATGTTGCCCAAAACACATAGCCAGCAGATGACTTCTCGACTTTTCTCGACCGCCTCCAAATAGCCCTGCAATCCACTCAAAGGAAGCCCGAAGCCCTTGTGATATCAGGCGACTTCAACTGTAGGTATTCCGGCTGGTGCTCAACTGACCAAACGGATGCACAGGGTCTGAGTCTTGACAACCTCTTCTCATGCTATAATTCGACCCAATTGGTAACCTTTCCCACCCACCTCCGCTCGAATGGACTTGGCAGCTGTCTAGACTTTATCGCGAGCAACATCCCTAACCAACTCAACCACATTCAACACCTGGCTCCTCTTGGCGCATCAGACCATGCCGTCCTGCTGGCTGAGTTCTCCTCCTCAAAGTCTTCCCCCACAGCAGCCAGCACCTGTCGTAGCCCACCATCTACGCAAAAATACAATGTCCTGAGTGCCACGGATAACATGTGGAATGCCATGAATGTTTTTCTCGCAGATGTACCCTGGTCTCAGGTCCTTGCCTCCCACTGCATCGACACGGCTGTCTCCGCATTCACTGACATCCTTGAAGGTGCCTTGGACCTATATATAGGAAGATCCTCACCTCCTCGTCGGAAATCACGCCACAAACCCTGCCCCTGGATAACTCCATCACGGAAAACAGCTATTAAAGTCAAGAGCGATCTCTACAGCATCTACCGGAAATATCCATCCCCTACAAATTTCAACAAATACAGACACCAACGTAACTATGTAAAATGCCTTTCCAGATCCTGCCATCGCTGCTACATCCGCAACCTCCGTGCCACGATATCTCCCACAAACCCTCACCTCCCATCCCTCCCTGTGATTATTCGTCAACTGCGAAATCCTACCAGCGCCCGGGTCATACCTTCGAAGATGGTGGGCCCCAATGGTCGAACAAGCACCTCTCCGGCATCCATTGGTAACTTATTGAACCGCCACTTCGTCAGTGCTGGCTTACAGGTTGACCCCGATGCTCCTATTCCCACTATTTCATCCCTACCTCCACCAGCAACTACATTGCACTCCCTGATCATCACCTCATCGACTATTCACAAGTATATTGCAAGACTGCCTCTGAACAAATCCCCCGGAGCTGATAGGATCACCAATGAGATCCTCAGGAAACTGAGCTACTCAATTGCCCGCCCACTCTCCATTCTTTTTAACCTTTCCCTCTCCTCCGGCACATTCCCGTCACGATGGAAGTCAGCCACTGTCATTCCAGTGTACAAAAATAAAGGCGACAAGAACAACCCGTCTAATTACCGACCAATCTCCCTCCTGCGTCTCCAAGCTGCTAGAGAGAAGAGTGTACGACCGCTTGTACGATCATATCTCCCCTCTTCTTCACCCCACACAATCTGGCTTCCACCGTAAGGACAACACATCCCTGCAATTGTCCTGCATAATCCAAGACCTCTGCTCCCTAAAAGACCAGCGGCAGGTCTCCTGCATCTGTTTCTTCGACCTCTCCAAGGCCTTCGACACCGTGTGGCACAAGGGCCTGACCACCAAACTTCGTGCCCATGGTGTCTCCAGCTCCCTACTCGCCTGGATAACTAGCTACCTCTTGGACCGAAATCAGTGCGTCACAGTATATGGAACTTTATCTGACCCCGAGTCTGTGACATCCGGAGTGCCCAAGGGCTCCATTTTAGGTCCCCTGCTCTTCCTCACATACGTTAATGACCTCCCCTATTCAATTCCCAATATTTCTTTGTTTGCAGATGATACCACTGTCCTTGCTTCCTCCCCATCTCACACCACCCTGTACCCCAAAGTTCAGACCTGTATCAACGACATTGTTCACTGGATGAGCACTTGGCACCTTAAGCCAAATGTGACCAAAACCGAGCTCCTCCTTTTTCCCCCTCCCACAGATCCAGTGCCCATCTTCCACTTTCCCCATGATCCCGGTCACCCTATGTCTGTAGCGCCCCACCATAAACACCTTGGCATTGTCATAGATTCCGCCCTCTCCTGGTCTCACCATGCTGATCATGTGTCGTCCAAAGTATGCCGATCTGTCGGCATAATGTCAAGTCACTTGTCCCATTTGCCCCAAAATTGCCGGATTAATTTTTATAAATCATACATTCTTCCCCTCTTCACGTACGGCTTCCCTGCCTGGTCCACCATTAACAAAACCCACATAGGTAAATTAGAAGTTCTCCATCGCCGTATACTGCGCATCATATTTCGTACTGATCGTTATATCACAAATCTAGACTTTTATGCTGCTGCATCCACTACCACTCTGCAACATTACCTTGATGCTTCCAAGTGCACCCTGGCACATTCAATTTTACTTGACCAGCACCCTGCTCATTTACAGTCCCTTAATTGGTTCAATTCAGTAGGCACCACCCGAAGCTGCCTTCGTCTCCCCCTAGCTAGGTCTACCCTATTCGTAAATTCCCCTTTCTTTTCCTCCTACTCCACGTGGCTCCAACTGCCTCCCAGTGTTAGACAAGCTCCAGATATGCCCAAATTCCGTACCCTCGTCAGACAGCACTTCAGTATCTCCCAGTAAACAAAGTCACAGTCACCACTTCCGCTGCATAGCTCGCTGAGCATCCCATTGCTTTTTAAGTTGCTAATCCCTTCCCACTTTGTGTACGTGCTCTTCATTTTCTTTTTTTCTCTTCTTCGGCGGTTCGTCTCACCCTGTCCTCAATTCAATTGGCTGTCTTGACATGCCACGAGGTGCAGAAATAAATAAATAAAGATAAATAAATAAAATAAATCTATTGCACAATGCCCAATTCTAAGCACTGATAGAGTGCTCTTGCTACCTCGTAAAGTTTAATCCGTTTCCAATTTCGGTGGCCCTAAATGCTAAAAAATATATAAGCTAAATGAACATCTTGAGTTTCGCACTTTGTACAAACACCATAATTAACGCACTGAACGTCATGAACGTTCCTTGAATCCCACAAGCGTATGGATTCATAGGAAGCGAGAATGTCTAAGTCTGCGGAACCTTCTGAACAGTTCCTGCTTGGACGACCACAAGTGTTAGAGTGGTTAATGGTAAGGCATCGCTGGGCATAAGCGAGCGTCACATGTACGAGTCCTGTTAGTGAAAGTAATATTATTCCATTCGCACATTTTCCTCAAGCAAATGAATATTGTGAAGAAGAGGTTGTTGCGACTTCGGCGATAGTTCGGGAAGTGTGTGTTGCTCCCTGCATGGGAGCTCGTGGTTTTCCTGCCGACTTGAATGTAGGTAGCAACTCACATTTCCCCAATGAATATTGAGATTTTGAATAATATAAAAATTCTTTAACCCTTAGCGTTAAAATTCGATTAACTCGTTGTTGTCCTGCCATATCTGCGTCTATTATACTTCGAAGTACTCTTTATTGCACTCATAGAATATTGAGATATAACTTCTTTAGAAGATTTTAAAAGAATTTTGACATGGACTAGAATGGGACTTTACGACGATACAAAGGGGGAAAAAGTACACAAAGCAACCAAATACTTCACATATAGAGCATTAAATGCGAATTTCAAAACAGCACAGCATCTCTTTTAGGGAAAGGAACCATACCAGGTATGAGCTGGGAAAAATATTGATTGCCGAAAACGTATTGACTTTATCAAATATCAGCCGCATGTTTAGCGCAGCTGAGTTTATTTATATGAGTACAAGTAGTAGATACAGCAATACGTGTATGAAGTGCATTGAGTAACACGGTTAGAAACTGTACAATAATATCAATTTTAAACAATGATCACGATAATGTTTGTGATGCTACAAATGTAGATAACCAGCAAACAAGCAATGACTTTTGCATGGAGTTCAGATTGGGAAACTGGTACTGCAAAACGGACCTATAATGAACATTTTCCATAACCTTGCAAAAACGCAATCTTTTGATGGTGTTACTATAATTTTGTATTGTCCTCCAACTGTTTCATTCCAATTGATAGACTTGTCACATTCGCTGATCAGTTTCTCTCAGGGATGGATTCTTTCATGCACTGTTAGATTGGATTTCCACGAGAACGAATTTCCACATATTTTACACTTGAACGGTTTCACTCCAGTATGGATGCGTTGATGATCTCTGAGATGTGTTTGTCGTCTGAATGCCTTATTACATTCTTTACACTGGAAAGGCTTCTCTCCTGTATGTGTATGTTTATGACTTTTAAGGCTGGAACGGTCGCAAAAACTTTGGTCACAATGATCACACTTAAACGGCTTCTCCCCGTTATGGACAAATTCGTGACGAGTGAGGCTGAATCTCGTACTGAACGATCTAGGGCAGTACTTGCACGTAAAGGGTTTCTCCCCTGAGTGAACTCGTCCATGACAGACCAGATGACTTCGATAGTTAAAGGTGTTATCGCACACTTCACACTTGAAAGATTTCTCTTCTGGGTGTGTACGTTCATGAGATGTTAGACGAGATTGCGTAGAAAACGATTGATCGCAATGCTTACATTTATGAGGGTCTTCTCCAGAATGTGCATGTTCACGATCACACATATCATGCTGCCGATCACGTGACACACCGGGTTCCTCGCTGAGCGACGAATGATGTGGATAAAAGTCATCTAAGTGTTGACTATCTGTCTCAGAACACAACTCGGAGGTATGCTGATTGTCGAGCGTTTGACAATCGTGATGTTTGGCAACCTCAGATACGCTAAGCGCTTGGGGGGATACTAAAACTTGTCCAATGCTGTGAAGGTCCAATACGGGAGACGTGTTCGAGTAATCGCCACATTTCGAGTAATATTCTACTTGCCCGTGTCCTGTGTAATGATCTGAAACTGAGATAGGATAGTTAACAGTTTGGTTACCGCTGTTTTGCGATCGTTGCTCAATGTCCATTGCCGATGTCATGGGAATCGAACATGGATTTTCGACAGCTGTTGCTGAAAGCTCAGTAGGGTTTGTATCTTTTTTCCTCTGACACTCCGGTCGAGGGTCCATGAACTTGTATGTTAGGTCCGGCGGTGGATAACATGGAGGTAAATTGGTGGTGACTGATGGTATGTTGCAAGGACTGAATGAGATATGCTGAATTGCATAATAGACAAAGGAGGCTTCTGTAGTCTCTACTTGATTCCCACCAACGGCGTCTACGTGGTGATGAGCTGTATAGGGTGTGCCGAGATGTTGTGTATCCGGCCATGGAGGACACGCAGTTGACCTTCTGCTGGTCCATATCACTAAGGGTGGAAGTGGTGAGAGGGCATCAGAGTCGACACTCCTCTCCGAAGTCCAGTCACGATCATCCATGATTCAATGACTTCAACAATCCTTCCAAGCACAATTCTACTGCAATTCAAGGCAAAGTATCCGACTTCAATACCAATGATCCAAAGAGCAGGAACAACTTGTCCTAGGAGGTAAGTATTGTTATCAGTAGTAGGTGTGTTTTTTTAATATTAACGATCTGCTATTTTGTCACACTTTAAGTTGATATCTGTTTCCAAGCTCTTACATTTGACTAACACATTAGAATCTTTTCACTTCTCGAAATCACGCGCGGGAGCATACACATACACATAAACCCACACACACACACACTATCTCTATTGCCATACTCCTCCTCACCTTAAAGCTTGATTTGACATCACGCAAGCTGAGACATCACCTTCAAGCTGGCTCTGCAACACCCGACAAGAGGTGATGCGAGTTGAGACGCTTTGTTTTTGGAATGTAACAACAAAGTGTCTGCTATGAATGCGTGCACGATTGTTATCGTCTCTTGTTAGAATATAGGCAGTGCCGTGTATATTGTGCCTAATCTATTATACAATACCCAGTTCTAAGAACTGATACGATGCTCTTTCTGCCTCGTGTCGTGAGAACTGTTGACAATATTGGTGGAGCTAAATGATAAAAACTGACATGAAGGAACTGAATATCGTGAGTTTCGCACTGTGTAAACACGCCACAATTAAAACTGTTAGGTGCCTTCTCCCCATACCTTTTCTAGCTGGCCTGCATTCACTTGCGTACTCACCTTTTGTCTCCTTTTGTGCCGTTGGCCTGGGCAGCTACTTGCGTGCCCATATTTGCCATAGCTACCAAGGCCCTTTATCTTGCCGTTCAGACTTGATCTCCTTCTCTCTCTTTTCTCACTCTTCAATAATCACCATGTAGTCGTTTCGTTCGTCTTGGTCTTTTGTCCCGTCTCTAATAAATGTCGTTCCACCAACCTACCTGTTCTCGTCGTTATGTCTGGTTAATGTGTCGTCAGTTGTCCTTTTTCGTATTCAACAAAACACTAAATGTCATGTAAGAAAAACGCCATGTACATGTTCGTTCCTTGCATCCCACCAGTTTGTGTGGATTCACAGGACGAGAGAGTTTTATGTGTGATAGAAATGTTGCACGGTCGCAGCTTGGATGACCGCAAGTGATAAAATCCTCAGTGGTAGATCATCGCTTGGCATAAGCAATTTTCACAAGTTCGATTTATGCTTGTGAGAGTCATTTTTTTCCCCTTTGCACATTTCCCAATGAACATTGAGTTAATACCACTTAAAGAGTATTGACAGAAACTAGAAAATGAATATACAGCGATTCAAATGGGACCAAAGGTAAGTATAGGAGTAAATTACCACGCATATTTAGCATCATGTGCGAACTTAAAAACAGCAAAGCGTCTCTTTTAGGGAAAGAATCCATACCCGGCATACGTGCACAAGAATAATGATACACGAAAAGTACTAATTGTATCCTAAGTGGGCGACACGTTCAGCGCAATTGAGTTTTTTTATGAATGTTAGATTTGACAATACGCGTAAGAAGTGCACTGAGTAACATGGTTAGAAACTATACAATAATTATCAACTCTAAAACAATGATAACGATATTATTTGTGCAAATAATCTACGTGGAGATAAGAGTTTAATAATAGCTATGAATAGTATGAATGCCGCAGACATCACCACGCAACATGACAATTTGTTCAAAGTTTGGTTTTGTGTGTTTCCAAAATCGATTTCAAGCCCCGATCATCAGTGGATTACAGAATTAACGTGATCAAGGAAAAACAAAGGTTAAAAATCCAAAGCAGTGTGACACATGACGCGTAAGTATTACAAAAAGTGAGAACTTAGATAAAGAGTAAGCGGGCATGAACAGTGCAGAAACAACTCATGAACACGGAGTGGAAACTCACGAAAATACCCCAAGTGCTACAACATGTTCTTTTTGCTAACACAAATCGGGCTTATCCGTACGAAAACAAACACCTTCAAGGACCTTCAACTGCGGGACATTACGGGCACGACACAGTACAGAGAAGTGGGAATCATCATACCCTTTCAAACAATCGGAACGAGATAACAAATGCAAGTACACAGCTGACTTCTTACGAATTTCACCTTCATCAGCTCCAACACCTTCCCTGCCACCTGACTCCTCTTCGTCCGTTTCATCACCATCACCATAAGCCGTCTAATCGTCATCCACCTCGTCGTCATCCTCCTCGTCGACTGGCCTGAGTAGATAGTTGCGCGAATATATTTGCCATAGCTTCCCAGGTCCATTATCTAACATTCGCCCTGAATCGATTTTTTGATCTCTCTCCCTTCCAGAATGTAGTCGTTTCCGGTTCGTCTTTGTCCCAGCCTCTTCGTCTCTCTCTAGTAAAATGTCTTCCCACATACCCGTGCTCCTTGTCCGTACTGCCTTGGGAGTATGAACCCTTTAGGAGCTCAACACCCTTTACACATCAAACAAATGAAAAAACGCGATAGTATCAGAACTTAGAAGATTTGGCGAGTTTTCAGAAAGACTAAAACGTTAATTGTAACATGGAAATTGTGGGCACAAGTCACTCGATCGAGTCCAACTACTCACCACCTGAGTACTGAAACGTTACTATACAAAATAATACATGAGACCATTGAGGCTTCGTGTACGAACTTGAGAACAGCACAGCGCCTCTTCCAGCGAAAAGATCCATACTCGGTAGCCGTGCTCCAGAAGTAGGATGTCCGACATAAAACAGGACTGATTTTTCAAAAATGAACTGTACAGGAACGTTCTGTGCAATTGAGTTTTTAATGAATGAATGGTAGATATGGAAACATGTTCATTTCGATATCATTATGATTGTATAACAGTATTATCCATGCTGTGACTGCTGAAACATGAAACATGTAGGAACTGGAATACAATGATAATGATAACGTTTGTATGTTACTTTTAAAATTATGTTGCAGCTAGCATGTAAGCAGTGAGTGACAGTGGCATGGATATCAGATTCGGGTATAAACGACAATTACGTTACATGCGTTTCAAAACGGACCTACAATTAGCGTTTTCCATCATCTTCGAAACAAGCGTGATGTTTTATGATGTGTGTATTTACATGGTCTTCCCGTGCTTTTTTCACATTGAAAGACTTATCACGAGCGCTGCCATTGATCAGTTTCTATCAAGGATGGATTCGTTCATGACGTGTTAGGTTGAATTTCTTTGTGAAAGACTTTCCACATTCCCCACAAGAAAATGGTTTCTCTCCAGTGTGGATGCGTTCATGGTTAATGAGATGTGAGGATTGCCTGTATGACTTGTCACATCGTTTAAACTTGAAAGGTTTCTATCCAGTATGTGTACGCTTATGAACCCTAAGGTCAGAACTTTTGGAAAAACCTTGGTCACACTGATCACATTTAAACGGCCTCTTCCCTGTATGGATGCGTTCATGAACAGTACAGGTGGATTTCTCACTGAATGATTTAGCGCAGTACGTGCACGGAAAGGGTTTCTCTCCTGAGTGAACTCGACCATGACAGACCAGACTATATCGCTTGCTGAAGGTGTTATCACACACCTTACACTTGAAGCCTTTCTCTTCTGGACATGTAAGTTCATGAGATGTTAGACGGGATTGAGCAGAGAATGACTTCTCGCAATGCTTACATTTATGAGGCTCTTCTCCAGATTGTGAATGTGCACGATCACGAATATCATGCTGGTGATCAAGTGACTCCCCAGTTTCCTTGAGGAGCATCGTTTGATCTTGGGGAAAGTTAGGTAGAAGTTGACTATCTTCCTCAGAACACGACTCCGAGGTATGGTGAAAGTTGAGCTTTGGACGATCCTGATTTTTGGCATCTTCAGATACCCTTGGCGCTAGAGAAGATACTGGATCATGGCCGATACTGTGATGGTCCACTTCGAGAGACGTGTTTGGGTAGTTGCCTTTTTAGTTCACAGTTTGGCTACCGCTGTCTTGCGATCTTTGGTCTAAGTCCATTGCCGATATCATGGGATTTGAGCATGAGATTTCGACAGATGTTGTTGACATGTCAATAGTGTGTGTATCTTCGTTCCTCTGGCACACTGGGCGAAAGTCCCTGAACTGGTCTGTTAAGTCCAGCGGTGTATGATGTGATGGTAATTCGTCTGTAACTTTTGGTGCACTCGATTGAAGTATGTTGCTGTGCATAATAGGCAAAGGAGGCATCTGAGGTCGCCACTTGATTCCCACTAACGGCGTATGCGTGGTGATGAGCTGTATAAGGAGTACGAAAGATGGTACATTCTGCGGGGGAGGACACGCAGTTGACCTTCTGCTGGTCCATATAACTAAGGGTGAAAGTGGTGAGAGTGCATGAGAGTGGACACTACCCTCTGATGTCCAGTCACGATCATCCATATTTCACTGAATTCAAAGATTCTTCCAAACGCAAATTACCTGTTATGCAGGACGACGTATACGGCTTCAAAACCAATAATCCCTATAGCAGTCCCAACGCGTACTAGAAGGTAAATATTGTAGACATTGGAAGCTGTGTTTCCCGAATAAGTAGCTGGAAACCCTGTAAATTTGTCACGTTTTGAAGTGGACATATATTTCAAGTCGCTTGCATTTTAACTAACACTCAGTTTTGATCTTTGCACAGTTAGAGCTGAGGGACGGAAACGCACATATACGTACGCACTCACACTAACAAAAAACCACACACTCATACTCACACCAACACTTCCCCCCCCCCCCCTCCCCCACGCACAGTCACACCAACACCCCCCCCCCCCCTCCTCTCATACACTCGCTATCTCTATTTCCATATTTCTCTTCACCTTACAGCTTGATTTGACATTCCCCGAGATGAGATATCCCCTTCTTGTGGACTCTGTCACACATGACAAGAGGTGATGGAACCTGAGAAACTTTGTTCTTAGAATCTTCTACCAAATTGTCTGCTTTGAATAGATGCATGGTTTATATCGTCTCTTGTGATATGATATACTTCGAAGTACGTAGTACCGGGTATATGTTACATGATTTAACCAAAAATGCCCAGTTATAAGTATTGATAGCATGCTTTTGCTACATCGTCACGTGATTGCTGTTGAAAACTTGAACAGAGCTAAATGTTGAGAAAGAAAAAAGCGAAATGAACATCGTGAAATTCGCACTATCTACAAACCCCACACTTAAAACACTAAATCTCATGCACGTTCCTTGCATCCAGCTAGCTTGTGTGATTCGGAGGAAGCGAGAGTTTCTAAGTCGGAGGAAAACGTTGAATGGTCGCTGCTTGGACGGCAGGTAGTGGTAGAGTGCATATTGGTAGGATTTCGCTGAGTATACAAGTACTTGATTGTCACAGGTTTTAGTACTGCTAGTCAGCGTCATTTTCATTTTCCCCTTTGCACCTTTCCCTCAAGCATATGAACATTGAGATAAATTTTGTTAGAAGATTCTAAGAGGTTTTTAACGAATTAGAACGTCATTGCAAAACACTACACAAGGCACCAAAGATACGTAAAGGAACAAACTAGCAAACTTCACTTCTCAACTCCAGCTAAACTCTTCCCAACTCCAAAAATTACAAAAGGAACAAACTACATCATTTATGTAGCATCATGTGCGAACTTCAAAACAGGACAATCATGGTATCGTCTAGGGAAATGATCCATAACCGGCATGCGTGCACTTGAATAAAGATGCGCGAACAATCACTGATTTTATAAAATGAGCCGCAAGTTCAGCACAACCGAGTGTTTTTATGAATAGGAGATATAGCCAATACGTGTAAGAAGTGCAGTGAGTAACATGGTTAGAAACTGTACAATAATATCGACTCTAAAAGAATGATAACGAATCGTTTGTGATGGTACAAATGTAGATGTCAGAATTAAAGCAATGACTTTTGCATGGAGTTCAGATCTGGTTACTTGCATTTCAAAACGATTCAAAATTGAACATTTTCCATAACCTTCCAAAGAAGTATTTGATTTAATGGTGCTAGTATTTGCATAATCTGCCCAGTGTTTTTCTCTCATTGGACGGCTTGCCACAATTACTGATCAGTTTCTCTCAGGAATGTATTCTTTCATGCGCTGATAGATTGGATTTACAAGTGAAAGACTTTCCACATGCTTTACACATGAATGGTTTCTCTGCGGTATGGACGCGTTGATGATCTGTGAGGGATGAATTATGCCTGAAATCCTTGCCACATAATTTACACTTGAATGGCTTCTCTCCTGTATGCGTCCGTTTATGAACTCTAAGGTTGGAAATGTCGGAAAAACTTTGATGACAATGATCACAATTAAACGGCTTCTCCCCGGTGTGGACACGTTCATGGCGAGTGAGGCTGAATTTGGTACTGAACGATCTAGGGCAGTACTTGCAGGTAAAGGGTTTCTGCCCTGAGTGAATTCGTCCATGACAGACAAGATCATATCGCCGATTGAAGGTTTTATCGCACACTTCACACTTGAACGGTTTTTCTTCTGGGTGTGTACGTATCATGAGATGTTAGACGGGATTGAGTAGAAAATGATTTGTAGCGATACTTACATTTATGCGGCTGTTCTCCAGAATGTGAATGTGCACGGTCATACATATCATGCTGGCGATCAAATGGCACCCCAGTTTCCTTGCTGAGCGACGTATGATACTGAGAAAAGTCAGGTAAAAGTTGACTATCTTCCTCAGAACACGACTCGGAGGTATACTGTGTGTTGTGAGTTCGACGATCGTCATGTTTGGCATCCTCAGATACGCTCTGCACTCTACAAGATACTTGAACGTGTCTGATATTGCGTAGGTCCAGATCGGAAGACGTGTTTGAGTAATCGCCTTCTTCCGAGCCACACGCTACGCTCCCGTAACCTGCGCAGTGATTTGAAACTGGGATAGGATAGTACACAGTTTGGTTACCTCTTTCTTGCGATCTTTGGTCAATGTCTACTGTCGAGGTGATGGCATTCGAGCTTGGATTTTCGACAGCTGTTGCTGAAAATACAGTGGGGTTTCTATATTCCTTCCTTTGGCACTCACGTTGAGTGTCCCTGGACTGGTCTGCTATGTCCAGAGGTGGATGATCCGGCAGAAACTTAAGGGTAACAGATGGCATATTCCAAGTCCTGGATGAGATCTCCTGAACTGCAGCATAGGCAAAGGAGGCTTCTGAGGTCACTACTTGATTCCCACTAATCGGGTATGGGTGGTGATTAGCTATATAAGTCGTACCATAATTTGTTACATTTAAAGATGGAGCGCACGCAGTCGACCTTCTGCTGGTCCATATCACTAAAGGTGGAAGTGGTGAGAGTCCATTAGAGTCCACACTACCCTCCGAAGTCCAGTCTCGATTATGATTCATGATTCACTTATTTCAGCAATCCTTCGAAGCGCAATTCACGTACCAAAGTCTCAAAAGTACCAAAGTCTCAAAGTACCAAAGTATCCGACTTCAATACCAATTATCCAAAGACCAGGAACCACTCGTCCTAGTAGGTAAGTATTGTAATTAGTAGCAGTTGTGTTTCTCTAATATGTACATAAGCAATCTGCAAATTTGTCATGTCTTAAAGTTGTGATCTATTTCGAAGCCCTTACATTTAACTGACACATTATGTTCTTTTCACATTTTGAGCTCACGCGCGAAAACACGCACATACACACTCACACAAACAAACACTCGCCCCACAACCTTACACACACACGCGCACAATGTCTCTTATTCCATATTTAACCTCACATGTAATCACCCAAGCTGAGAAATACCCTTCATACTGGTTCTGCAACACCTGACAAGAGGTGATGCAAGCTGAGACACATCGGTGTTAGACTCCTAAAACAAAGATTCAGGTATGAATAGATGCTTAATTTCTATTGCCTATTTCCATATGATATAGATAGGTGCAAGGGATATAATTCTATCATCTATTGTACCATACGAGACCACAGGTCGGCGGATATGCTGCTGTTTCACCACCACAGTTGTAACTGAAGCCGCCTGCATGATACAGTATTCTGTTCTCGAGGTTCAAGGTTTCTTGTAAAACAAAATTCCCAGCTCTATGCACTGATTGAGTGCTCTTGCTATCTCATCACGTTATTACCTTTGAAGGAGTTTTGGTGGAGCTAAATGATACGGAATGATAATATATTAAAGGGAACTGATCATCGTGAATTTCGCACTAAGTAAAAACAACACAGATAAAACATTAAACGTCATGTATGTTCCTTGACCAACTTGGAGGATTCGCAGGAGGCAAAGGGAAATGTTGAACGGTCCCTGCTTAGACGACCACTAGTGGTAGAGTGCTTAGTGGTAGAGCATATCAGGGCAAACAAATTGTCACATGTTCCATTCTTCGTAATGAGTGTCACTTTCTGTTGTTTGCACATTCCCACAAGCAAATAGACACTGAGATATTATTTTGTTAGAAGATTTCATGAGTTTTAACAGGGACTATAACGATACAAATGGGAACGAATGTACGTACAGGCACAAAGTACTTCACATATTTAGCATCAGGTGCGAATTTCAAAACAGAGCCACGTTTCTTCAAGGGAAAGCATCCATACGAGGTGGGTGTGCATAAGAATAAAGATGCGCGAAAAGGTACTGATTTAATCAAATATGAGCCGCATGTTCAGCGCCACTGTGCTATTTTTAGGAAAAGTAGATATGGAAATACGTGTAAGAAGTGCATTAAATAACAGAGTTAGAAACTGGACAATAAAATTATCAACTTTAAAACAATGATAATGTTCGTGATACTACAAATTTAGAAGTCAGCATGTAAGCAGTGACTTTTGCATAGAGTTCAGATGGGGCTACTTTCATTTCAAAACGATTCTATCATGAACATTTTCCATAACGTTGCAAAGAAGCATTTTGTGTGGTGTTCGTGTTTACTTGGTTTTATACGTGTTTTTTTTCATTGAAAGACTTTTCACAATCGTTGATCAGTTGTTTTCAGGGATGCAACCTTTCATGTACTGTTAAATTGGATTTCTGAGAGAAAGACTTTCCACAAATTTTACACTTGAATGGTTTCTCGCCAGTATGGATGCGTTGATGATCTGTGAGATGCACCTTTTGCCTGTATGACTTGCCACATAGGTTACACTTAAATGGCTTCTCTCCAGTATGTGTACGTTTATGAACTCTAAGGTAAGAAATTTGGGAAAAGCTTTGGTCACAAAGATCACACTTAAACGGTTTCTCCTCGTTATGGATACGTTGATGAACAGTGAGGTGGTGTTTCACCCTGAATGATTTAGGGCAGTACTTGCACCTAAAGGGTTTCTCTCCTGAGTGAATTCGTCCATGAGAAACCAGTTGATATCTCCACGTGAAGGATTTATCGCACACTTCACACTTGAACGGTTTATCTTCTGTGTGTGTACGCTCATGCCATGCTAGACCGGATTGAGTAGAAAATGATTTATCGCAATACTTACATTTACGCAGCTCTTCTCCAGTACGTGAATGTGCCCAATCACCATCATGCTGGGGATCAAGTGGCACCCTTGTTTCCTTGTTGAGTGACGTATGGTCTTGAGGAAAGTTAGCTAGAAGTCGACTATCTTCCTCAGAACAAGACTCCGAAGTATGCTGTTTATTGAGCATTTGTCGATCATGATGTTTGACATCCTCAGATACGCTACGTGCTAGAGGAGATACTGCAACATGTCCGATGTTGGGAAGGTCAATATCGGAGGGCCTGCTTGAGTAATTGCAACCATCCAAGTTATAATCCACGTTCCCGTGGCCTGTGTAGTGGTCTGAAAACGAAGCGGGATAGTTAACAGTTTGGAGACTGTTGCCTTGTGATCTTTGGTCAATGTCCATTCGTGATGTCATGGGACTAGAGCATGGTTTCTCGCCAGCTGATCTTGAAGACTCGTTATTCCACGTATCTTTGCCTTGGAATTCTGGTCGTGGGTGCCTGAAATTGTCTTCTGCGATTTCCACCCAAGGATATTCTTGAAGCACACTGCAGGTAAATGTTTGTGTATTCCAAGGGCTGAATGAGGTATTCTGAAGCGCACCATATGCAAAGGAGCCTTCTGAGGTCACTACTTGGTTAGCACTATCGGGATTTGCGTGCTGAAGAGCTGGATAAATCATACCATGATATGGTATACTGGGCGGTGGAAGACACGCAGTTGACCTTCTGCTGGTCCATATCACTAATGGTGGAAGTGGTGAGAGTGCATCAGAGTCAACACTCGCCTCCGAAATCCAGTCCCGATTATCCATCATTCACTTACTTCAACAATCCTTACAAGGGCACTTCACCTGGCATGCAAGGAAAAGTATCCGATGTCAATACCAATAATCAAAAAAAACTGGAACAACTCGTCCTAGGAGGAGGTATTGTAATCAGCAGCAGCTGTGTTTCCCGAATAATTACATGAACATTCGGCTAAATGGTCAAGTCTTTTAATATGATATCTATTTCTAGGCCCTTATATTAAGCTGACACATTATGATATTTTCACACCATTCGCTCACGCGCGGAAACACACACATTGATTCACCCACACAACCCCCTCGCACCCCCCCCCCCCAAACCCCCTACCTCCCCCCCCCCCACACACACACCCATGATCTCTATTTCCAGAGTTCTCTTCGCCTTAAAGCTTGATTTGACATCACCCAAGCTGAAACATCACCTTCAAGCTGGCGCTGCCATACCTGACAAGAGTGTGAGATGAGAGCTGAGACATCTTGCTGTTAGAATCTACCCACAAAGTGTCTGCTATGAATAGAGGCGTGATTAATATCGTCTCTCGTAATGATATATGTAGTGCCGCGTATATGTTACACAATCTATTGCACCTTGCACAGTTCTAAACACTGATAGGGGACTATTCATACCTCCTCAATTTTGTTGGAGCTAAAGGATAACGGATGACGCCAGGCAACTGAAAACCGTGAGTTTTTCAGTAGCTATAAAAACTGCATGTACGTTCCTAGAATACCACCAGCTTGTGTGGATTCACATGACGCGAGGGATTATAAGTGTGAGGAAAACGTTGAACGGTCGCCGCTTGGATGATCACAAGTGGTAGATTGCTTGCTGGGCATACGCGATTGTCACAGGTTCGAGTCCTGCCAGTAAGTCATTTTTTTGCCTCAAGTTAATGATTATTTTATTATGGAAATATGTAGGACGAGCTGGAGCGACATGTGGACTACTTTATATACATGGTGAGCGATGGAGACGATGCAAGAAACAACCTAAAGGGTAAGGAAAATTACATGTAAAAAGAAAAAAAGGGCAATGGAAAAAAGAGCAATGGAAAAAAATGATTCGAACAAGTTTTCGTACAACACTCTTCAGGAATCACCGTTGTACTAAAGAACAAAATGAGAACAAAGGAAATAATATAGCAATCAAGGTAGGGTGACACGATACAATGACAGCACTGGAATATCGAGGTGCGATTTCTCACAAAAGTGTGCAGAAAACAAGGGTATACAAGTAAGAACTAAGCGTGACAACTGTGTATCAGCAACAAAAACAAAAAAGTGAGAACGAATGATAATAATAACAATACTAAACAAGAAGGTGACAAAACACATTTAGGCACAAGTGGCAACAACGTTGCCACACGACACAAAAGAACATTATTTGAACAATTTTAGGGTAATAACACTATCTTTCTGGACACACAAATTCGGCTTATGAATGCGCTGACAAACAGCTTCCAAAACTTGTAACTGCAAAAGATAACCATGACGAGCACGGCACAAAACAGAAAAACAGGAGTCAGAATAAGTACGACAACAGTCAGTACTAGAAACCAAATGATTGTATACTGAAGACTTGTTATTACGAGACGGACGCACACAATCTCGACTCCCGCGCACACCCTCACACTCACTCTCACCCTCACTCGGCTCACCGTCTCCCTCACTGTCCGAATCAGAACCTGCTCCGTCATCCACAGCGGTTTGACTCTCCTCCTCACTTGCATCGTCCTGCGTCTCACCTTCACCACCCACGCCAACCGTGAATGCCGTTGCCTTCATGTCAGTCGTCGTCCTTTCCGATTGTTTCCTTTGTATTTTTACCGTGAATCCATAGGTCCGGTTGTAATCTGCTGTAGATCTCCGTGGTCTGTCATTTGCTGCTTTGTTTTGTGGATTAGTTGTTGTTGTTTTTGGATGTGAACCTGGTGTTGTTGTTGGATGTGAAGCTGGTGTTGTTGTTGCAGCCATGGTTGTTGGTCTTTCTGTTGAATCCAGCTCTAGTTCCGGTTGGACAAATCGACCGCCGCGGGTGCTCTCCACCAACACAGACCTCGAAGGAGGAGGGTCAGAGGAGGCAGAGGTGCTGTCACCACTCGAGGCACAGCCCCATGCAAAGCACCCAGAGGCACAGACTTAGGCACACCCGAGGGCTGCACCAATGGCGGTTCCGCACGCACCTCCAAAGAGCTGCCAAGCTCAAGCCCGTCCAACACAGATGTCAGAGGGGGAGCGGCAGACAGCGGCAGGGAACTATCCTGCCGTGTAGGTGATGGGTTTTCCTAGGTCTCCCGCGTTTGGGCCTCTCAGATTGCGCACTGGGTGGAAGGATGTGAAGTGGAGTGTGTTGTTTGATACGTGCGCTCAGGTGCTGAACAGTCCTACCAACATACCGACTAGCACAATGTCGGCATTCGAAGTTGTAGATAACATGACTGAGGTGGAGGGTTTGGTAGGACGTCCTTCCGCACCGTGAACGCACGCATTGTTGTGAAGACTGGCACAAAATGTACTGCATAATAAGTACGACGGACGATAGACTTGACTTCGCGACACACTTTGATCCATTCCTGCCCCTTCCATGGCAAACATAGATAGACGGGACAGCGAGGTGGACCAATCAGCACCGATTTCGGTTTCTGCTCCTTTCTGCTGATGGACAGAAACTTACGCTACAAGAATTCCGGATAGCCATTCTTCAAGAAAACAGATCGAAGAAAATAGAGCTCGGCCTGCAGCTTACTGGGCGAACAAATACGTTTCACACGGTCCACGAGGTTACGAAGTAAGTTGACCTTGTATTGAGACGAACAATATGAATCGAATTTTCTACCAAAATGTCTGCTTTGAATAGATGCATAGTTTATATCGTTTCTTGTGATATGATATACTTCGAAGTACGTAGTACCGGGTATACCATCCGTGTGTACTTGAATCGATCTCTAGAGATCGATGAACATGCATACACTAAAGCATTCGTAACTCGATCGATTCTTGTCGGAATGTAAAGAACTAAATATCTAGGAAGAAGCCGAAAAGCCCCGCTTTCCATTGCATTGTTCGGTAAAGAGCTGTGATGTCGCATTCCAAAGATATGTCGCTCTACATTTCAGCTACGGCAAATGTCGAATTTCTTTCCGAATGACTGACCTTGAGCGGGGATTTTCCCCTCTCCTGACATGCTGAGTCACTTTGGCATGCTTTGAGCACGTGGGCAGCATGAAAAGGAACTCAAGCAAAAACAATTGGAAAGTTTACGATGAAGGAGCGAGAAATGGCTGGCGAGGAGAGAATTTCCTCGTATATCCCGAGATGGGTGTATTTGAAGCTCCCTGGCGCTTGATATGTGGTCTTGGTAGTGTCCTGTTTGAGCTCAATGTACGCAGTTCGTGGAGAGCTTTCCAGAATGCCCAAGATTGTGAAAATTGGTTAATTAGAACCGAAGATATTCTCAGAAAAGGTGAGAATTATTGCATTTGGGACTGCTGGGGAATTTTGGTCGGATGGTAAAGGGTTAACCAAAAAATGCCCAAGTCTATGTATTGATAGCATGCTTTTGCTACATTGTCACGTGATTGCTGTTGAAAACTAGAACGTAGCTAAATGTTGAGAAAGAAAAAACGAAATGAACATCGTGAAATTCGCACTATCTACAAACCCAACAATTAAAACACAAAAAGGTCATGCACGTTCTTTGCATCCAACCAGCTTGTGTGATTCGGAGGAAGCGAGAGTTTCTAAGTCGGAGGAAACGTTGAACGGTCGCTGCTTGGACGGCAAGTAGTGGTAGAGTATTATTGGTAGGATTTCGCTAAGTATACTTGATTGTTACCGGTGTTAGTACCGCTAGTCAGCTTCATTTTCATTTTCCCCTTTGAACCTTTTCCTCAAGCATATGAACATTGAGATAAATTTTGTTAGAAGATTCTAAGAGGTTTTTCACGAATTAGAACGGCATTGCAAAACACTACACAAGGCCACCAAAGATACGTAAAGGAAAAAAACTAGAATACCTCAATTCTCAACTCCAGCACAACTCTTCACAACTCCAAAATTAGAAAAGGAACAAACGACATCATTTATGTAGCATCATGTGCGAACTTCAAAACAGCACAATCATAGTCTCTTGTAAGGAAAGGATCCATAACCGGCATGCGTGCTGATGAATAAAGATGCGAAATTGTTTACAGATTTTATGAAACGAGCCGCAAGTTCACCACAACAGGTTTTTTTATGAATAGGAGATATGCACAAAGCGACAAAATGAAAAATCTTGGCAAATTAATTTCGTTGTGAATCAGAGTTTCATGGCTGAACCAATCATCAGACAACGATAATGGAATAGGAGGCAGCGCTGGTATATCTAAGTGGAGAGAGGTGTGATAATACGATAGCGAGAGGAGTAATCGCGTGATGTATACAGGGGCAGGCTATTTCAGAGGCAGATGCAGTAGGCGCAGGTCCAGCCCTAACAAGCACGTGCTTAATCTCACACACCACACCCACACACACACACACACACACACACACACACACACATACTAACACGCACACATATAGTAACACGCACACACTTACACACATACACGCACACACTAACACACACACATACACCCACAAAGGTTCGATGGACTTCTAGTGTGCTCTGGATGCCAGTCGTGAGTCAGTCAAATGTCAAGTAAAGTCGGCGGAATAGCGCGAGCTCCGGTGTGGGGAGCAAACCCTTTCTTACAAATCATCGCCGAAGTCGCAACCACTACTTCGGACTGTTGTGCCCAGCGCGGGCTTGCGACTAGTTGGTTTGGAGGTGACAGCGTTGCGAATGACAGACCGTCCTCCACGTCTGTCTCACCCTCCTAGTGCGACACTGACTCAAGCTGCTATCTGGTGTTCACGAGGTATTCGTCGCGCTGGAAACGAAGCGTCTCTGTAAGTTTGTATCCCTGGTGATATTTGTGACTGGAGAGCACTATATAAGTGGTGCTCTTCAGGCACAATCTTCCTCAGCCTACTCAAGCTCAACTGATGAGGGGTGAATTCCCCGAAACACTGTGTATTGAGCAGGGAGTGGTGCTCTCTTGCAGGTTTGCCGAGTCGAAGGTTCGATGGACTTCTCGTGTGCTCTGGATGGCAGTCGTGTGTCAGTCAAGTGTAAAGTAAAGTCGGCGGAATAGCGCGAGCTCCGGTGTGGGGAGCAAACCCTTTCTTAAAAATCATCGCCGAAGTCGCAACCACTACTTCGCAATAATAATAATAATAATACCCTACTGAAGGGGAGCCCGCAGCCGCGTATGGATATTTTCGTTCTAATAGGCACTAAGCTGTTTTGTTTTCAAGTTCGCACCCGAACCGTAAATGTTTTCTAGGTGTACCCTTGGTCCTCTGTGTAACATTTATCGTATAGTACCGTTTTAGTCAAATCTCGTCAAATCGTTTACGTTGTACCATCTCATTGTTCATTTCTTTTCATGAAATTGGAAATCACATTGAAACGAGTTATGAAGCAATTATCCACGACTGTAACAAGACAATAAACATTCGCAAAGTGCGATAACACTGCACAAAATGACATGTTATTGAGAGCCTTCCGGCTTTGAAGGTTCAAGGTAAGGTGATTGTGACTATGTGATTTCTTTTATTTTCACTCTTATACTGAGCCAGTGATAAATGTAAAAATGAGTCAGTTGTGTAAACCAATGCTCTACCACTAAGCTATGGCCTAGTGTTCATCAAAGCAGCTACCGCTCAACACTTTCTTTTGACTTCGAAACACTCAGTTCCTGTGATTTTATTCGAAGACAACATGTTAACGGGGAAGGGTTTGAAGAAGACGTTGACTGTCATCACGAAGATTCTTATTCCCGGCGATGCTCTATTTGATATCTCAGTATGTAAAGCATATTTTTCTCCACTGCATGAGACCGGTGCGAGGTAGAGAAGCTTACTAATAGAGTCACAGCAGGATGCACTGCCTGCGAGCTGAATATGCTACGCAGATGGAGTATGCTAAATACATACATATTTTTATGCCTGCAATATCGGGACAAACTCAGATCGTCGAAATTCTGGGTTTCTTTATCTTGCATGAATATCATAAGCAATACTGTGTTATCATAAGGTGGGCAACAATGTGCATTATAATTACCATGTGCAAAGGAACGAGACTTGTTCCATAGCTCTTTCCTCAGTCAATTAGAACTCTTACTAGGTCACAAGCAAGACAGGACATAACACGATACATTTCCATGGGAGTGGATCATCCATTCCGTATGATTATGATTATCTCATTCCATGACCAAAATTACTGTTGATGCATCTGGAGTCATAATGCTGTGTCTGGGCTGACGCTTAGGAAATTCCCTGCAATTTACATCGAAGAAAGGTAAAAGAGAACCTCCTCTGCAGTCCTGAAAATCGATCATTTCAGTCTCAGCGTGTTTATGTGTGTGTATCCGTGTATCTGAGTGTGTGTTTGTGTGGGTGTCTGGGTGTGTGGATGGGTGTGTGTGTGAATGTGTTTGCGTGTGGTTCGGCGCGTGCGCTCATGATGTGAAAAGATCATAATGTGTCAGCTAAATGTAAGGGCAAAGAAATAAATATTAACTTAAAGACGTGACAAATTAGCAGATTGTTCATGTACATATTCGGGAAACATAGTTGTTACTGATCACAATACTTACCTCCTTAGACAAATAATATTGTTCCTGCTCTTTGGATTATTGGTATTGAAGTCAGATACTTTGACCTGCATGGCAATAGAATTACGCTTGGAAGGATTGTTGAAGTAAGTGAATCATGGATGACCTTGACTGGACTTCGGACGGGAGTGTCTACTCTGATGCACTCCCACCACTTCCACCTTTAGTAATATGGACCAGTAGAAGGTCAACTACGTGTCCTCCACCGCCGAAAACACCAACTTCTGGTACACCGTATACAGGTCAACACCACCTATACGCCGTTAGTAGAAATGAAGTAGCGACCTCAGAAGCCTCCTTTGCCTATTATGCAATTCAGCATACCTCATTCAGTCCTTGGAACATACCATCAGTTACCAACAATTTGCCGCTAGATCATCCTTCGTCGGACCGGACAGACAGTGTCAGAGACCGTCGACCAGAGTGCCAAAGGAAGGAAGATACAAACTCTACTGAGCTTTTAGCAACAGCTGTCGTAAATCCATGTTCGATTCGAATGACATCGGCGACGGAAATTGAACAAAGATCGCGAGACAGCAATAACCAAACTGTGAACTATCCAGTCTCAGTTTTAGATCACTACACAGGATACGGGCACGTAGAGTATGACTCAGAAGAAGACAATTACTCAAGCACGTCCTCCGAAGTAGATCTTCAAAATATCGGGCATGTTCCAATATCTCACCGGCTGCCTAGCGTATCTGTGGAAGGCAAACATCATGATCATCAAAAGCTCAAGAAACAGCATACATCGGAGACGTATACCGATAAAGACACTCAACTTCTAGCTGACTTGCCTCAAGAACACACGTCGCTCAGCAAGGAAACCGGGGTGTCACTTGGTCTCCAGAATTATATACCTGATCGTGCACATTCGCAAACCGGAGAACAGCCGCATAAATGTAAGTTTTGCAAAAAATCATTTTCCACTCAATCGAGTCCAACATCTCGTGAATGTGTACAGCCAGAAAAGAAAACTTTCAAATGTAAAGTGTGTGATAAAACCTTCAGTACGCGATCTCATCTTGTTTGTCATGGACGAGTTCACTCAGGAGAGAAACCGTTTACGTGTAAGTACTGCGCTAAATCATTCAGTGCGAAATCGAGCTGTACTGTTCACGAACGCATCCATACCAGGGAGAAGCCATACAAGTGCAACGAATGTAAAAAGGCATTCAGACAACCATCACATCTCACAGACCATGAACGCATCCATACTGGAGAGAAGCCTTTTAAGTGTAAAGAATGCAAAATGGCATTCAGACGACAATCATATCTCACAGATCATCAACGCGTCCACACTGGAGAGAATCCATTCATGTGTAAAGTATGTGGAAAGCCTTTCTCTCATAAATCCAGTTTAACAAGACATGAAAGAATCCATCTCTGAGAGAAACGGATGTCACAAGTCTTTTAATTAAAAAACACACCCTTAGAAGACCATGTAAACACTAAAACCAAGTCTTCTTGTCATGGTAATGGAAAAAAGTCATTATTATGTCCATTTTGACATGCAACATACCCAATCTGAACTTCATACAAAAGTCTCCTGCTGACTTCCACATTTGTCCCATAACATTCCATATCATTATCATTGTTTTAGACTTGATTTACTGTACACTTTCTAACCCTGTTGCTCAATGCACTTTTCACACGTATTTCCATATATACCATTTTATAAAGAAAACTCGGTTGCACTGAGCATGTGGCTCATTTTTGAGACAATCAGTACTTTCTGTACGATCCTTATTCTTCTACACACTTGCCTGGTGTAGATACTTTCCCTAAAAGCGCTGTACTGTTTTGAAGTTCGTACATGGTGTTACATATTTGAGATATTTTGTTCGTGTATGTCCCTCTGGTCCCATTTGTACCGTTTTGTAGTCCTATTCCAGTTCTTGTCAAAACTCTGAACAGCTTCGAAAAAAATGTCAATGTTCATGTGTTTGAGGAAGATGTGTACATGACCAGGACTCGAACCTGCATACATCACTGCATACATCACAAGGCATTAAAGCGCCAATTACCTCTTCAAGCCGATTTACGAGCACCACCATCTACAGAAAAGAGATTAAAACTTGTTTGGGTTGGTTTTGGTTTGGTTTCATTATTTCAGTTCTTTTCGCTTTTCGCAAGTCGGTCGATATTCATGTTTAAACAAAATCCAAGACTTATTTTATTGGTGAAATACATATTCAAAAAGGAGGGGATATAGTGATTATAGTCAATTTGTCGTCATTTAAAGCGTGCAAAGGTTCTTTAGACAATGATCTAATGTCCTCACTTCCTTTCAAGTGAGCAGGGAGGGTATTCCACATAAGGGATGCTCTGGAGGAAAAGGAATTGTACCCCTCCACGGATTTATGCAAGCAAATTGACAAATTGTTTGTTGCAGTTCCACGAGTTGACCGCTTAGAGGTGGGCAAAGGGAAAAGACTGCGTAAGCATGATGAAGGCTGAACAATATGACAATTAAACGTAAACGTAAGAAATTGATTAATAGATGATAGATGATGTAGATGTTCAAGGTGTTTTATTTGAAGAGAAGCAAGGAGGGCTGGTACAGCAGCATAGTATGAAGCACGGCAGGTAACTCGTACAACCCTACGGAACAAGGTAAACAATCTCTCCCTGTGCTGATAGGTGAGATCAAGAGTCCATAACCCCCCAGAGTGTGCAACTCGTGATCTTTCTCAGCACAAATCAGTGCCGCAACGAAATCCAAACTTCATACGTCATTAGTAGCGGATGTACCAGATATGCACATGGCCCCATCCGCCCATGCTTGACTATGGACCGGATGACGCAATGTTTGGATTTCGTTGCGCCAGACCCCAACCTCGAGTTGCACACTCTGGGGGGTTATGGACTCTTGGTGAGATGCGTAAACAGTGAAACAATACTCAAAGTAGGGCTGAATCACACTAAGCAGGTACTGGCGACGGGCAAATGCTGCCATTTGGCGGAAGGTGCGTCGCAGCGCGCCTATCTTGCGTGACACTTCGCTGGTGAGGTGATCTACGTGTGGAACAATTGAGAGCTTGTTATCGATAAGGATACCAAGGCAGCGAATTGCACTCACTTCCCTTAAGGTAGTGCCACCCAGCTCAACAAGAACGGGTCTTTGTACGTCAGGAGCATTCTTCGGCAAGATGCTCATGACCACGGTTTTGTCAACATTAACGCTCATGCTCAGTGATCTTAGTTCATTGTGTAGCTTAGCGAGAGCCAAGGACACGCCATCGGTGCAGAGTATTGAATCTCGTGAGGAAGCGTACAAAGTCTTGTGATGTCTAAAGCATAGTTCACATTCGACGCAACGCTGACGGCAATGGAAGAAATAGGCTACTCCGACTGCCGTCAAAATCCCTGTCTAAATCGCCTAAAAGGGCCTGGGGTGACCTGTGAAATTCCGCACGATTCGTACGACACGACATGCAGCAGTCGTTGCGATCTTCAACTTCGAATCCCGCCAGCCGCGAGGCACGGTCCGTCACGGGGGGATTTTGTGACCTCCTTTTTCGCTTTTCTGGGCTTCGTTACAATTATTAATGTTCTCCTTGAAAGAAACGGAATCAAGTGCACAATATGAGTTGTTCATGAAGACCCAAAAATTAGCCTTGCAAACTATGGCATTCAAATAATAGCCCCAGGAGATGATAGAATAGTTCGTCTCTCGCGCTCCTGAACTCTCCCTAAATACAATAAGTGAGATGAGATCTTATCTTTCTAAAATTCAGCTCAAGTCGTGCTAGCCATTCTGTGAGTTATCATGGGACGCGCAGTGTTCGAAGTGCTTAAAAATTCCAAGTACGAATCGGGAGCAGTCGGCCCACGACGCTGTCTACTGTTCACTCTCGATTTGCAGCCAATTTGTACGCTTGCGTCCCCGTCTACGCAAGTCTACGGTATGAAATGTTGAATCGAACCAACTCTTCCCGTCGCTTCCCGATCTGTACGTAGTAAAGTAGCGTTCTCGTTCCTCGTGTTCACATTGGATTCCGTCAGCCGGTGCAGTCGCTTCCCGTCGATCCTTAGGATGCGTACCGTCGCGGCCCGTCGAATGTGAACTAGGCTCAAAATCAATGCCGTCGGGAACTTTTTCTATTGACGAATATGACATAATTTGAAAAGGCGAGGTAACTGATGTTGTATTCCAAGGGCTGAATGGCGAAGTTTAAGGATGACAATAAATAGAATCAGTTGAAGCGTCACCACCACTAGACCAAAACGTACTGGCATCAACATCGAAACAGCTAATTATAGTATGAAGTACAGTATTATCATGGCAGGCTGCACCGACAAAGGAGGAGACCAAGTGTGAGGGAAAAACTGGGCATGACCGCAAACGATGAGGACGATGACGGAAAGGGCACTGAGGAGATGATTCTAGCGAGTGAGTTGAGTGAGGGAGAGAGCTTGGGTATGAGACAATGTGAGACTGAGTGCGGGCGTATTTTTCCACCTTGTTAGTCTTCTGTGTGTAATCATTTGGTATCTTATCCTGAATGCTCCGAAATGAATTCTGATTCATGTTTTTTCCGTTTTATGTCGTGGACGTCATGGTTATCAGTTACATGAAAGTGTTGGACATTGTTCTCCAAAGCATTCTATAAGCCTTGTTTTCATGTTCAATGTGAAGAACAGGTTGGTTGGATTTCGGCGATACTTGGTAAATTGGGTGTTGCTCCCTACATGGGACCTCGCGATTTTCCTGCCGACTTGAATTCTCAATTGACAGACACACGACTGCTATTCAAAGCACACTAGAAGTCCATCGAGCCGTCTACTCGGCAAACCTGCAAGAAAGCACCACTCCCTGCTCAACACACAATGTTTCGGAGAATTCACCCCTCATCAGTTGAGCTTGAGTAGGCTGAGGAAGATTGTGTCTCTTCCGGGACAATCTTCCTCAGCCTGCTCAAGCTCAACTGATGAGGGGTGAATTCCGCGAAACACTGTATATTCAGCAGGGAGTGGTGTTTTCTTGCAGTTTTGCTGAGTGGACGGTTCGATTGACTTCTCGTGTGCTCTGGATGGCGGTCGTGATTCAGTCAGGCGATAATTCAAGTCGCCAGAAAACCCGTGGGCTCCCATGTAGAGATCAACACACAACTTCCTTTGTGTTAAAAAGGAGAATATTATCTTTTTGAAATAGTTCATGGCCGAAACAGCTTGCTGTCTACAGCATTGGGTATTTGAAATAGTTCTACAGGTAGCATGTTGTGTTAGGCTGGCCTCGTCGGGTCAGAATTTTGCCACAAGTGTTGGTTCATAGGTTCATACTGGAATTTAGCCCCTTAGAGTGTTTGACTGTTACCTTTCACGCATATGGTAATTTCCAAGAATACCTTGTGATACTTTTTTTATCATTATTGAGACATATTCATCCTTTGTAGTGATCTGTGTTGCAATTATTTTTGTTAATGGAAACAACGATGCTTCCTGATGTACGTTGTGCGAAAATTGGTTTGATGCATTATTATCTGGTGAAAAAGGAGACGGACAAAATGTTATATCTGTGTAAGATCTGGTTGAATCAGTGAACAGTTAGTCATAGCTCGTAACATTTGGTCCTCCTTTTTCACCATCATTTAATTGGCTTGCCATCCGAGTTCAACTTGTTACATTTTCATTGTTCCTATTACTTTTTGTTAAGGCGGAGAGGTGATAAAGGTTTTAGGATGTCATTAAACAGAATCAGCTGAAGCGGCATGCTACGAAGGTTTTATTGAACAAATTTGTACGGAAAGTGGTAATGGACAGAGAAATAACTGCGAAGGAAATATACTGTGAAAAATAATAATAGGAACAACAATGTGAAGAAGAGGTTGGTGCGACTTCGGCGATAGTAGTAGAAGTGTGTCTTTCCCCCTAGATCTGAGCTCGCGGTTTTTCAGCCAACTTGAATTCTCACTTGACTGACTCACGACTGCCATCCAGAGCACACGAGAAGTCCATCGAAACGTCCACCTGGCGAACCTGCAAGACAGCACCACTCTCTGCTCAATACACAGTGTTTCGGGGAATTCACCCCTCATCAGTTGAGCTTGAGTAGGCTGAGGAAGATTGTGCCTGAAGAGCACGACTTATATAGTGCTCTCCAGGCACAAACATCACCAGGGATTCAAACTTACAGAGACGCTCCGTTTCCAGCACGACAAGCACCTCGTGAACACCAGCAAGCACCGTGAGTCAGTGTCGCTCCTGGAGGTGCTGAACAAGCGCAGAGGACCGTTGGCCATTCACAACGTTGTCGCCTCCAAACCATCTAATTCGCAAGCCCGCGCTGGGGACAACAATGTGAAGAAGAGGTTGGTGCGACTTCTGCGATAGTAGATAGTACCGGTAATAGGAACGATTCTAGTAATATAGAAATTCATCGCACTAGCTTTCGCGCAACGCACATCAGGAAGCACCATTGTACTTATCAAAATATGGCCCACTATCAGCGAGAATCGACCATTGGGTGAAAATAAACAGAAAAAGTCATTTTCTGCCACCGCAAAAAAACCTTGCTTCGCTGCGCACATTCAAACAAGATTAACTTTGTTGATTGCAACAATGAAAGCTTTTGATCGTCCTAAAAGTGTATTAGGAGCGTTCAATAACGATGGCCAACTGCCGTCCATATCTGCCAGACGACATTGAATTTCCTAGGTAGGAATCGTCCCGTCTGGTAGAGAACGACGACAGTTCTCACAAGTTGTTTTGTAGACGCCAAATTCCTATTTAGCGACGAGAAATTCAACTTTATTTAGGCGCTCCGCCAAAGGATATCTCTTCTGGGGAAAATACTTTTTGACATCTGGAAATCCTCGTTGGGCCCTTTTGAGTTTAGTACAGCTCCGCTGGGGGAAATGCTAAACGAGGATAAACTAGTAAGGCGACGGCAACAGAGGCAGTTGAAGTGAAATCTTCTGTATTGCCTGGAGTAAGAACGAAAGAGTGCTGTTGCTTATGACGTGATCTACCACCATGGACTCCGTTCTGAACACCAAAACCCTAGGAAGGGGCAAGAGCTGAACTTGACGAGCTGCTAACTCTGCGCTGAGCTCAGTGCTGGAATCATGGAATTACTGGCGCACTGACGCGCATGCTACCAGTGTTCCACAGAGGTCAAATTTCACAGAGGTGCTGCAATACTACATTTTTGTACATGTAACATTAAATCGTGTCAAAGATGAAGTGTGTGGTGTTAGAATGTTGTACCTGTGTCATATCCCCTGTGGAATGCACAGACTAGGACTCCAGATGTAGTTGTAGCCGCCCTCCCTCCTGTTCTGGACTCCTGCGGATTTTCAGCACACTTGGGATGGTGCTCAATCAGTCTTCATTGGTCTGGAGTGATGAGGATCAAAACCATCCATGCTCTATGCCAGAAGTTGCGTGAGAGTTGTTTTACATCAAAAAATGGATGGCTGATTTTTTACACTGCCTTTTTTAAACCAAAATAACTTTTAAGTAGAGAGCATGTCTGAGAAAACCAGAACATATGTGCAAGTCGATCTCTCAGATTTCGCTCAAATTTTGCAGGTAGGTTTGCTTTGGGGTGTAGATCGACATTCCAAAGTCCGCACAAAATCTTTTGAAGGGAACCATGAAATTGGTATACCCCTCAATATTGGCCCAATATTGGCACGATTTATGGGTCAACAAACGAGCCACGGCACAGCATGCAAGAACAAGCTACGAACAAAACTCCATCAAGCCATCATTACCTCACCTTAGAAGAGTTCTTGGGGCAGCACTACTTAGCCACGCCAGCATCCCAGAAGACGAGGGAAATCATCCCTTGACGCCACAAATGATCGTCTTGAAAATAGCCAAATTACAAGCGCTGATAAAACAGCGAGCTACGTCCTCAATTAGCAAACACTATACACCGGCAGATAGTAGAACACCTCTTCTAGCACTGAGGACATGTCCCCCATCATCCTTTTGGGGTTTTCTTGAAATAAACAATTTTGAATTTTTCCACTCGACCATTCTGAAATACGTCCAAACTCATACCTGCGCAGGAAAGCTCGCCCCTCCGCGACGTCTAGTCAGCAATTTCTACTCCAACACCACTCCCAACGCTGCAGAACAAAGTGTATTGTTGACTCTGACAAGGAAAAGCAGCGGTGATCACTTGTCACTCCAAACGACAAGCTTCTCCTTGCGCCACCAACATTTTTCGTTGCAACAGTTGATGCAAAAGTGACTGAATTTTTGCGTGTAGTTTTTGGATTTTACTGCAAGAGGAATGAAGAAATCACGTGGATCGTGACGTAGAATAATGCTTTCTGGTACACGACACAATGCACACGATCACGATCGTTCCTGAGGCGCTATTCGAAACGGGGAGGAGGTAAGATGCATTATATTTCTTGCATGCTCTGCTCAGAACATGCAGAAATTATCGTTATAACGCTAGCAGTATTGCATTGGCAAGAATTCTTGGAGATATTTCCTCTTGCAGTAAGAACAGGGATGCATTTTTTCACACTAACCTTGCTCATCCCGAACATGGTTCAGCAGGAACTACGGCTGGTTTACATGCTGATGATCCACGTAGATCTGCAACAGCAAGGAATGAGCGTGGTCCAGGCCATCAAGCCAAGGTCGCTTGGAGTTGACCAGCGCTAGCGCGCGGCCACCAGTGGTTGCATGAAGTATGTGGCGCATGGCGCGGCCACATGGCAGATTTCTTACGTCATGAACAACGTGATTTGACCCTACTTGATCCGATCTAGATCAACGGGTGATCCATGTAAGTGCAGGAGCGCTTGATCAAGGTGACTCGGAACAACTGCTGAACCGTGATCTACGAGACCTGGCATTCTTGTGTCACGAGGCACGTGATTTCATCATTCCTCTTGCAGTAAAATCCAAAAACTACACGCAAAAATTCAGTCACTTTTGCATCAACTGTTGCAACGAAAAATGTTGGTGGCGCAAGGAGAAGCTTGTCGTTTGGAGTGACAAGTGATCACCGCTGCTTTTCCTTGTCAGAGTCAACAATACACTTTGTTCTGCAGCGTTGGGAGTGGTGTTGGAGTAGAAATTGCTGACTAGACGTCGCGGAGGGGCGAGCTTTCCTGCGCAGGTATGAGTTTGGACGTATTTCAGAATGGTCGAGTGGAAAAATTCAAAATTGTTTATTTCAAGAAAACCCCAAAAGGATGATGGGGGACATGTCCTCAGTGCTAGAAGAGGTGTTCTACTATCTGCCGGTGTATAGTGTTTGCTAATTGAGGACGTAGCTCGCTGTTTTATCAGCGCTTGTAATTTGGCTATTTTCAAGACGATCATTTGTGGCGTCAAGGGATGATTTCCCTCGTCTTCTGGGATGCTGGCGTGGCTAAGCAGTGCTGCCCCAACAACTCTTCTAAGGTGAGGTAATGATGGCTTGATGGAGTTTTGTTCGTAGCTTGTTCTTGTACGCTGTGCCGTGGCTCGTTTGTAGACCCATAAATCGTGCCAATATTGGGCCAATATTGAGGGGTATGCCAATTTCATGGTTCCCTTCAAAAGATTTTGTGCGGGCTTTGGAATGTCGATCTACACCCCAAAGCAAACCTACCTGCAAAATTTGAGCGAAATCTGAGAGATCGACTTGCACATATGTTCTGGTTTTCTCAGACCCGACCCGACTACGCTCGATCCAGACCCTGGAGCTGGATCCGGTGTTGCACACTCTTGAAGGTTAATACATTGGTAATAATGACCAGTCCTCTGCAAAACCAACCTTAGGTGCTATTGTGGCGCTGGATTGTTGACACATGACCATTTCTTCCACTTCTGGCGAAGTGTTAGGTCTATTGCTATCATATTCCGGTAGATACAAAGACATTTTTTTATTAATTTCTTGTAGGGTAAACTGCAAAATTTTGATGAAAAATAGCAAAAAAACTCAATTTTCTTCAATATTTTCGAACCTATGCTGTATGTAATTCGGATAGTGAGGCAATTAAATAATTGTGAAAAGAAGAAGGATAACATTTTACGAGTTATGAGCAGTGTTGGAGGTAGGTGTCAGGTCGCCGAATGTCTCAGTACTCCTTGTCAGTTTTGCGCCATTTTGTCGCACTCGCTGACTGTATACGGTCTGGTTACGTTGGTGGACAGTTAGTCATAACTCGTAACATGTTGTCCTTCTTCTTTTCACAACCTATGCTGTGTTACAATTTGGCCCAGTATCTGAAGAATGGACCTTCGGGTGTTGTTTTCACAAAATTTGACTTTTTCAGGCTTTTTTCAACAATAGGTATCTAATGATCACATGGCAAAGTATTAGACCGAAAAAATCAATAATTTTATAGATGGCCCAGAAGCTTCTCAAACAAGCATAGGTGCATATCAGGAAATACAACAGTTGATCGCAGTTTTTCCCCATCGGAATACTATGTTTTACAAAAGGCAGTAAAATAATGTCAAATTTGGACTTCACGGAGAATTTTCAAAGTGTTAGGAAATTTGAGGCCACATGCAACGTACTGCTCTTTTCTCTCCGAAATATGACTTGCAAGTGTTGAGTTTTGGAGAGAAAGGAGCAGTACGTGGCATGTGGCCTCAAATTTCCTAGCAATCTAATAAACCAGAACAAAACATCACTAAGAAACATAGCTAAGTCTTTATACTCGTTTATTCTCGTTACATTTTGTCCTTTTTTCACAATTATAAGTCTTCAGTCAAACAAATGAATAAACCTACTCAAAGTGCTACTAGTACACTAGTTTTCTTCCATGTGAACAGTAAAAGAGTGTATGGTTTCGAAAACCTCACCCATATGTTTTTACCCGGCGTCGACATAAATCGTTTTCCTGATTTATGAGTCACTATCTCACTTTGCACTATGTACACATCCACAGTACATTCAGTTCTCAATTCCTATCTAACATAAAACTGTCCAGAGTTGCACTATACCAAGTCTGATGTTGAAGTGTCATACGGAAGTGCATGTCTAATCTGGTGTGATTACTAACCAGGTGTGAAGGTGAATAGGAAATTTTAGAGGGACACCCTGTGGTGTTTGTGTGTGTGTGTGTGTGTGTGTGTGAGAGAGAGAGAGAGAGAGAGAGAGAGTGAGAGTGAGAGAGCTAGAGAGGGTTTGCACGTATACCTGTGTGCATGTGCGCGTGACTATCAAAATAATAGTAGATTGCGGAATGTAGAGTTGAGGAAATACGTGTGGACTGCTGTGATGTGACGTGACGAGTTAACACACAGAGTTGCCATACCTATACCGGTATATTCGTTAACAACCGGATGAAACTCATTTCAATGTTATTGTCTGCAAGTAAGGAGAGTTTGTTTGGGCATTTTGATATTTGATAATGTCAGATAATTTGCAGTGTTAGGAAGGAAAACAAATAAAGTTGGGTGAATTGTCTTAGCACTTCAGTAAGCGGATCATGGCTGATTGCAACTGGACATCCGAGGGGAGTGTTGCCTCTGACACATTCTCATCATTGCCACCTTTAGTGATATGGACCAGCAAAAGGTCAGTTGTATGTCCTCCGCCGCAGAATGCATCTTATTCTACGCCTTTTACAGCATTTCACAACGCATACGCTGTTGGTGGAAATCAAGTACATGTAGCGACCTCTGAAGCCTCCTTTGCCAATTTTGCACTACATCATACCCCAAGCCGCCCCTGGAATACGCCATCAGTTATCTCCAATTTACGTCCAGATCAACCGCTGCTGGACATAACAGACCAGTTCAGGGACCCTCGACCAGAGTTCCAGAGGAACGAAGATACACACACTTTTGATGTATCAACAACAGCTGTCGAGAACCCATGCTCGAATCCTATGATATCAGCAGTGGAAATTGACCAAAGATCGCAAGACAGCGGTAGCCAAACTGTGCAGTACCCAGTCTCAGTTTCAGATCACTACGCGGGACATTGGCACGTACCAGATGACTCGGAAGAAGGCAATTATGCAAGAATCGTTTCGGAAGTGGACCTTCACATTATCGGACATGTTCCAGAATCTCCCCTAGCGCCTAGCGTATCTGAGTATGCCAAAAATCATGATCGTCAAGCGCTCGCGAAACAGCATACCTCGAAGGCGAGTCCTGAGGAAGACAGTCAACTTTTACCTGACTTTCCTCAACATCGTCTGTCGCTCAGCAAAGAAACCAGGGTGTCACTTGAGCGCCAGCATGATATGCATAATCATGCACTTTCACAATCTGGAGAAGAGCCAATTAAATGTAAGAAATGCAATGAATCTTTTTCTACGCAATCTTGTCTAACTTCTCATGAATGCGCACATCCAGTTGAGAAATCTTTCAAGTGTAAACAGTGTGATAAAACCTTCAACACGCGATATAATCTTAATCGTCATGGACGAGTTCACACTGGAGAAAAACCCTTTCCGTGCCGGTACTGCGCTAAATCATTCAGGGACAAATCAAATCTTACTGTTCATGAACGGAGGCATTCCGGGGAAAAGCCGTTTAAGTGTGATCATTGTGACCAAGGTTTTCACGACAGGTCCAACCTTAGAGTTCATAAACGTACGCATACAGGAGAGAAGCCATTCAAGTTGAAATTGTGTGGCAAAGATTTCAGGCATACTTCGTCCTTAGCAGATCACCAACGCGTCCATACCGGACAAAAAACATTCAAGTGTAAAGCATGTGGAAAGACTTTCTCTGTGAAAGCCAATCTAACAAGACATGAAAGAAAACATTCCTGACAGAAACTGATAAGCAATTGTTACAAGTTTTTCAATGAAAAAACACTTGGAAGGCTATGCGAATACTAACACCAGTTAACCAAATGCTTCTTTCCAAGGCAATGGAACATTTTCAATATAGAAACGTTTTGAAACTCAAGTAGCCCAATATGAACTCCATGCAAAATTCATTGCTTACATGCTAACTTTTACATTTGTAGCACCACAAACAGTCTCATTGTCATTGTTCTAGAGTGATATATTGTACAGTTTCTAACCATGTTACTCAATGCACTTCTTACCCGTATTTCCATATCTGCCATTCAGAAAATAAAACGCATTTTGCAGAAAATGAGGCTCATTTTTGATAAAAAATATTATTAGTAACTGTTCGCGCATTTTTCTTATTCTGCAGGCATGCTGGGGAGAAGAGACGCTGTGCTGTTTTGAAATGATGATGCTAAATAAGTGAGGTACTTTGTTCCTGTATGTACCTTTAGTTCCATTTGTATCGTTATGTAGTCCCGTTCTAGTCCCTATTAAAGCTCTAAATATCGTCTAAAAATATGATCTCAATGTTTATTTGCTTGTGGGAATGTGCAAACAACAGAAAGTGACACTCACTACCAATAATCGATCATGTGACAATTGACTATGGCCAGCGATGCTCTACCACTAAGCATTCTGCCTCTAGTGGTCGTCCAAGCAGTGACAGTTCAACATTTTCCCTTTATAATAATAATAGCTCCACCGAAATTTTCCCTTTATAATAATAATAGCTCCACCGAAATTTTCAAAGGTTATAAAGTGACGAGGTAGCAAGAACACCCTATCAGTTCATAGAACTGGGTATTTTGTTTTACGAGAAACCACAAACCTTGAGAACAGAATACTGCATGATAGAGGTGGCTGCAGTTACAACTGTAGTTTTGAAACCGCAGCATCTCCTCCGACATGAGGTCTCGTATTGTACAATAGATGATAGAATATATACCAGGCACTGGCTATATCATATGGCAATAAGCGATAGAAACCAAACATCTATTAATATAGAAAAGAAAAGGACATATGGATACAGGTTAAGAGTAACTCTCCATCACTGTAACTGGATACTATAATACAGTCAGAAAGTGCAATACCTAGGCACAAAACTGACAAGAGTACTGAGACATTCGACGTCCTGACACCTAGCTTCAACACATCTCCGTAGCGCTAACCGACAGCCTTCCAACTTGGAAGGTTCAAGGTTATGAAAAGACCAAAGAGGGGAAGGCAAGCGCAACGAAAACGAGCAAATGCTACCGTTAGGCCCCGGCGGATAATGCTAGCATTATATCTAGCATATTTAGCACTTTCTGGAAACTAGCATTGCACTAGCATAATCAGCAGGTTTTGCAGAAAACTAGCATATTCTTGCGAAAACTAGCATATTGTTGCAAAACATGGGAATTTCGCGAGGCGGGCGCGCAGCCTTGATCAATCATCATGCATGATGATGATAATGTGGCAGTGCAGACTGCAGTGGTGAGGACGGTCGATCGGATCCGTACGGGACCCATGCCCAGTCGATTGCAGAGAAATATACACGCAAACTAATTATAGAACTGTGTTCGCATCCGACAACACTGGTTCACTTGAAATCTTCAATGACTATGTCTAGCCCTCGAGGCCTCTCTACTACTTAGTTGTAGTAGATCTATGACTCTGGCTGGGAGTCTGGGCACAAGAGTTGGGAAAAAAAAACTTGTGATGGGTGTACATGAGAAGGCGGTGAGAATGGGAGCGTTTCGTTTCCACCAACTAAGTAGTTACTTTTGCTTGAATATTATTCTTTGTAAGCTGATGAAAAACACACGTCATGCGGCTATGTCCGAGCAAGCAGCCTGAGACATTGTTGATCTAGTAAGCAGTAGCGATGATCACTTTGATTCCGAGTTTGACGATGAAGACGCATCAGAATCAGAGTACGAAGAGGACGAGGTCAGGACAGCGTGTGAACGTCTTCCCGAACCATCCAGAGCAGCGATTTCCCGAAACCGATCTTTCCAGAGAAGTAGGGAGGAGTCCGTCGCTAAGCGTGGGCGAATTGCCGGTGGACTGAGTTCCACATTGACACCTCGTGTCAGCGTCCACCATCGCGTGCAGCAATTTCCAGGGGAATATTTGACCGTGTCCAGTGGGAAGATTTACTGCAGTGCCTGCAGCCAGACAGTTCAACCGAAGAACAGCATTGTGAAATCACACATTTCGAGCCAGAAGCACAAGACGGCCAAAGAGCGAAAGTCACGAGCCCAGCTACACCAGCGAGCGGTAACAGCTTCGTGGGAGAAGTACACTACAGACCATAAGAAGGAGCTGGCAGGAACAGGGCTGTCTGGTGCTGACTGTAGCCAATGATGTCCTCATTCGAAGAGCCAGTGTTGTAGAGTCTTTCCTCAAAGCAGGTGTGCCTCTGAGTAAGATAGACCACCGGCTTCGTCCGTGGCTTGAAAGTAACTACTGTCGCATGACGTACAGCACTCACATGGCACAGTTGGTGCCATTCCTGTTGCAGAATGAGCAGTCTACCATCAAGAAGGAGATTGCATCTGCAGCTCATCTCACCGTTATTTTCGATGGAACTTCACGCCTTGGTGAGGCACTTGCTGTTGTCCTCCGCTACGTCGATGGCGATTTCAACATACACCAACGCCTCGTACGTTTCTCTGTACTGTCCAATAGCCTAGCTGGTACCGAACTAGCTCGAGAGCTCATCACAGTTTTGTCAACACAGCTGCAAGTTCCAGGCCTCAAGGTTCTTGCCTTGGTCCCAGACTGTGCAGCTGTTAATGGTGTTGCTGTTAGTGGAGTTGCATGAAGTCCATCCGTGACACTTTTTGACCCCATATAAAGTGGCATTAAATTGAGCATAACGAGCATAACGAGCACTAAAACTAGCATAATGTGCCACTTTTACTAGCAGTGCTAGTAGCATAATTGCCGGAAATAACTAGCATTATCCGCCGGGGCCTAGCTACCGTCCCAACGGAACAAAGAATGTCGATTGTTACTGGACGATGACGAGACCAGCACGATATTTGACAAGTTGGGTGGTGTGCTGCTTTGCTGCTTCGAATTGTAGTTAGACCGCTTTGTCAAATATCGTACTGGTCTCGTCATCGTCCATTAACAATCGACATTCTTTGTTCCGTTGGGACTGTAGCTTTTGCTCGTTTTCGTTGCGCTTGCCTTCCCCTCTTTGGTCTTTTCTTAACCTTAAGGCTGTCGGTTAGCGCTACGGAGATGTGTTGAAGCTAGGTGTCAGGACGTCGAATGTCTCAGTCCTCTTGTCAGTTTTGTGCCTAGTTATTGCACTTTCTGACTGTATATAGTATCCAGTTACAGTGATGGAGAGTTTCTCTTAACTTTTATCCATATGTCCTTTTCTTTTCTACATTTATTTATGGCTCAACATCCGAGTTTCAAATCTATTAATATCTAAATCTTTGTTGTAGGAGTCTAACAACAAATTGTCTCAGCTTGCATCACCTCTTGTCAGGTGTTGGAGATTCAGCATGAAGGGCATTTCTCAGATTGGGTGATCACAAATGAAGCGTTAATGTGAAGTGAAATATGGAATTAGAGACAGTGCGTGTGTGGGTGGGTGTTTGTGTATGTGTGGGACGAGTGTTTGTGTGTGTTTTTGTCTATGCGTGTGTCTTCGCGCCTGAGCTCATGATGTGAAAAGAACATAATGTGGCAGGTAAATGTAAGGGCCTAGAAAAAGATATCAACTTAAAGACGTCAACAAATAGCAGAGTGTTCATGTACTTATTCGGGAAGCAAAGCTGCTACTGATTACAATACTTGCCTCCTAGGAAAAACTGTTCCTACTCCTTAGATTATTTAGAAAAGCGGTCCAGTCAGCTTTTCTATTATTGTGTTCACATTGCAAGACAAAACGACATCGCTATGCTACGTAAGTTTCCACGGAAGGCGCTCGGTATTTCCCTTAGGCTACGTAAGTTTCTACGTAAGGTGCTCGGTATTCCACTACTCCATGTCTCCTAGATCTACCAACGCACGGCATACATTGAGTTGCAGTCCGTTTTCGGATGTGCATGCGCGAAGAACTTTCTTCTTTGGAACTGCTTCTTGCATGAGCTGTTTCGGATATTTCGTTTCCTGGCGTATTTCGCTTCTACTCTGCTGAAACCTCCTTTCACGGAATACTCAATGACAGGTGAGTTGACCAGTTCCCTTTGATTCATTTGCTTGTGTTGACTTTTTTATTTACGAAAAGTGTGCTGATTTTAGGTGGAATACAATACAATAATGGAACAGCTGACAAGATCTCTTTTCTAAATTTAGCTTCTCGCACCACATATACCGGCATACACAGAGACATAGACAGGAATAGCGACAACACACAAAGTGAAGGGTAGTTGGCCGCTGCTAGATGTGACACTGGTGAGACTTAAAACTGACTGAAGAAGTCAGGAAAAGAAGTGACAAAAAAGTACACACCAGATGCCATATTTGCAACTGAAAATATTTCGCGAGAAATACAACTTTTCTGCTGTCGAGGCCTCCTTTAACGGAATATTCAATGACAGGTGATCTCTGATTTAACCAGTTTCCTTCGATTCATTTGCTTATGCTCACCATTTCATTTACGGAAAATAGTGCTGATTTTGTTCGGATTTAGATCCATTCGTATTTTTTTTCTCTTCAAAATCCACATATCTCCAGACACTGGGGTGAACAATGGAGTGTGGTGGTGGGGCCCATTAAGTTCCATCGACCAGAGGTCTCGGCTTCATAGCTCAATGGACGCACCAAAGGGATATTAGGTAGGGAGGATTAAATGAGTATTGATGTGAACGCTGTTAGACTATTAAATTCAAGATGAGACTTTCTGTGAGGAGATATTACATGTATGTCCAAGCAGGGTAGGACACTGAACCCTCTTACTCGCGTATGCTATGAGTGGCCCAGTGCCAGTTCGTTCTGAGGAGATGGTGATAAGCTGCTGTCTTGAACTTTTGGATGTTCTATCTCTTTGCCCTTGCAAACGGTGTGCGAAGAACGCGAGTTCACCTTCTTGGCGGTACGGCTGATGTTGCTGCTAAGGCTTAGATTTGTTGTCGAAATACTCATGTTCATTGTGCATTGGTGCGTAACAAGTAAGGCACTGGTCATGATTGCTTCCGACATTCCGTACTCCGATCATAGGGTAGAATCTGAATTTTGCAGTGGCATAGCATCGCTGGAAGTTCCCAATCTGGAGGGAAAAGTTCAAGGACGCATTGGCCGAGTATGCAAAATAAATTAGCATATCAGGGAAACCTACATTATGGAGAGGTTCATGCATTTAGAGACTTGCTTGCTTCATACGAGACAAGCCGATGGGTGCAGTCTCGTCTCGGGAAAATCTCGTACGATTGGATTTGTTTACTCGAGTCTGGGCTGTTTGATTTGTGAATAGCGCCGAGATTGCACTGCCCCAAATGAAGTTGCGTTCCGGCAAAGCAAGAATTACGATTTGCAATCTGTTTGTTGTACCTGCAAGAATGTGCTGTACATGTATCGTATTTTCTCTGCTGCTGTTTCAGTTGCCGTCATGTTGCTAAAGAAAGGTCCAGTGACTCATTTCTTTGGTACGAGACGAGGCAATGAGTCGGTTTGGCTGTAGAAGAAATCTATTCGTATCTC